GACTATATGACTCTCTTTGACTCTCTCTCTCTCTCTCTCTCCCCCTCTCCCTCTCCCTCTCTCCTTTCTTTCCTCTCTTCGCTCACCTCAAATTCATTTCTGGCCTCAGCCTGAGATCACAAGCTTCAAGCATGCACCCCCATACACACTCAAATTGCAAGAAAATTATCAATGAGGCTGATACACATGAGGTGTGACACAGGCCCCACAGGATTCTCAGAAGTATAGGGAATCAATATTAGTTTATAAATCTTGAGCTTGGAGCAGAATGAGAACAAAGGAACCTGAAAACTTAGGCAGACACTCAGAGAGCCTCTCCCTGTACTTCAGTGATTTTTCATCTGCAAAATGATGCCCCTCGAAATCCATGCCAAAGATGGGTGCCTGGACATCCCATGTGACCTTCAAATTGTTGGAATATTGTACCTACGTGGAGGTATCTGAGGCAGTGTCCACTTCCTTTTGACATATCCATAAGTTAGGAGACATGAGCTTAGAAGTACCCAGGGAAGGCCCTAAACTGGTTCTTCTCCTGGAACAGGTTCTGTAATACAGATTTTTTCAAAACAGCCTGCTGCCTTCTCCACAATGCTCTCCATTCCTAGGACTATAGACTTGGATGCTCTTTGATATCTTCTTGGCTCTTCCACTCCTTTGGCCAAGTTTATCTTTCTTTCTTCCCATAGTAGGCTGCCTTTTTCTTTGTGTGTATCTATCAGGCCCTGTTTCTATGTCTTTTATTTCCCTCTTCTTTTTTCTGCTTTCTGTCCTCTGAACTCCTTGTCTCTATTTGGATCAGATTCCATCTCCCTCTCTGTTTCTCTATGTGTGTGTATCATTCTCATTTTTCACTATTGCTAATCTATTTGTGCCTGTCCTCACTTCTCTACATCTCTGCTCTCTCTAAACTGAGGATAGGACTAATGAGTATAGGAACTGAACCTCATCTTACCACCCACTGTTCCCAACTCTCACTGAAAACAAAGCAAGGGAAAAGGCCATTGCACTACATCACTGAAGACACTAATGAAACTCAAGACCAACGACTTGTTACTGGGGAATTCCTTCCTGCCAAAAGATAAGAAAACACCATTGGGGTTTTCCATGGGTGAAACCTGTTAAATTTAATCTAAAGCTGCCTACCTATATAGCAAACTGAAACCTAACCCAATATGTAAACAAACTGCAGCTGACTTGAGAATATACCCTTGTAACAGGTAACCAAATCTCAGCCAATCTTAGCAGTCAGGCTTCTGGCAATCACAGGCTGCAAACTGCTCAGACATGTGCAAATAAGGCAAAAGCAGAGCTAACCAATAAGCTCTTTCTATATGTCAACTTCTTTTCCTGTGTAGAAATATTGCCTGCCCATATTGCTGGGTAGAGCTCTCTCAGTCATTACTGGTTCAAGATATTATCCAATCACAAGTGATTTCTTTGCTAAAATTAACTCTACCAAATTTAATTTATCTAAAGTTTCTTTTAACAAGGCAGAGTAGAGATTAGCAAGGAAAATTATTCAGACTGTCCTCTCTACTCCCAACCCCTCTAAGCATCACAGTTCTGCTTGGGTTCAGCTCTTTCAACCAGGCCCAGAAGATTCATACAGCCCTAATAGAAAAGAGAAGAGAAGAGAAGCAGAACACCAAGCACATAAATATATGCTAAATGAGCCAATGAATGAATGAAATAATATAAATGCTAACTGAATGAGTTACATCAACAGAGGAGTAGAAACATGCCTTGTTCTATGGAAATGGCCAGAGACAACAGGCTACTGTTAAGAACACAGAGGTAAAAGCAGTCATATAGGCTGCCAACATCTCCATAGCTATTTCCTTTATCCCCACATCTCCCATCAAATGCCAACAAAGGAAGAAAAGACTATGCAGAGGGAAGAGGTCATGTGTGCCTGCTCTATATCAGTTATCCATCAGGGTACAGCAAAGGCTTCATCAGTGCCCAAAAAATTGACCTCATTTCTAGAAACTGAGTAGAGATGGTTGGTCTCAGATTATTGAAGTTTCACCACCTTGAAACCACAGAGACTGGTTCAGGGCTGGAGAACTTCCATGATTTTGTTCAAAGAGACCATGATTTCCAAGGCTTATGAAGGAGATGTCTACCCAGAAACTACAGTGTAAAGATGGGCAGTCTCACAGTGCTGCAGCCATTTTGCCACATATAAAACCTTACCATGAAGATGTAGATCTAAAAAAGATTGTATTCAAAAGTTGGAGGATACATAACTAAAGACATGCTCTAGTTTGTTAGATTTTATGTGATTCAGATAACGTCTACATCTGATCACAATCAAACTGCTATATTTGGCAAGCATGAGGGATATAATCAAATTGTAATTCATCTGCAACAAGTCATATTATTTTTTACTATACTTATCCAGATAACATATTTGATTCATAGTTTTCCTATAAGAACAGAACATTTGAAATTCAATAAACATTTTTAAATATAAAGGAAGTTAAATTACAAAAACAGAAAAGAGCTATTTCTTGGCTGTATGTACCATGAAATATATATGTTTATAGCTGTATGCATACCTTTTCTTTACCAGTGTACTATGATAAAATAAAAGTGTCTTCAGCCAGCAATATTTGCCCACATAACTGGAAGAAACTTAAGGTTAATGCAAGAAGAGATTGAGAAATAAACTTCTTTTCAGCTCTGTTGTGCTCTGAGTATTTTTTTACTGACTAGTGCTGAATTTACATTTACATGGAAAGATTTCCATTTAAATAATGTTGGACACATGGTGGCCCAGATGGAGGCACAAATATATATGAATTGTGTTTCCTCAGTTATAAAACAAAACAAAACAAACAAGAGTACAGAATGAGAACTAGGACTCATGAATGTATCAATACCTTCCACAACTACTCAGGGCTCCAAGGTAAGTCCAAACCCCTCCCCAAGCCTGCTAGGCCCTGCCCAACTGAGCACTTCACCTTCTCTCCTTTCCTAAGGTACACACCAGAGCTTTTTAGTTTCTGAAATGCACCAAGAACACTGCATCTTCAGTCCCCAGGCCTTTGCAGTTACCTCTGCCTGGAATGCTCTTCCCAGTGCCTGATCAATACTCACTCATGAGGCTTCAGCCTAGAAGCCAATTTCTTAGATAAATGTTTCTTCATCAACCAACCAAAATTAGTATTTCCTATTTTGTTGTTCCCAGAGCCACCTTTAGAGGATTTATTATGACAAAAAATAGTACTTTCCCCTTTAAGAATTAACTTTGTTCCATGCAATCCTAAGTGTAAGGTGGGCATTAAGTCATTTAATTGCATCATCATTTCTGACTATTTGATGAATATCCATCTCTCCCATTGCACTTTACATTTCTTGTGTCAGGCACTATGTCATTTCCTTAATGCATTCTCTGTAGCCTCCATTAGGGTACTGGCTTCAGAGTAGTGCTAATAGATGAGGTTTGCTTCCTACTATTCTTGTCTTGTTTTGTTTTGTTTTCCTTTTTGAAATTAGTACATGTTTGCAGTACCTGCAGTTTATTATCATCTTGAGGAGTGGGTTTGTGTACATAATACAGCTTGGTTCTTGTTTTTCATCCTCTTCCCCTTCTCAACCAACTCCATCCCTCCTCACCCAACTCCATCCCTCCTCCTTCCCCATTTTCATTCTTGTTGACATTATTAACCACATCTCATTTTTATGACCACAATGTTTACATTCATTGATGTTAATGTTTACATTCATTGTTATTAGGATCCTGTCCATGGCATATTTTTATTCTACTTATTTCCCCTTCCCCTCAAACTCTCCCTATAACCTTGGTCTCCTGGATCCCTTCCCATTTACAAGAGATACATCCTCTTCTATTCCATCCATCTTTTTGTGCATTTTAGGTATACATTATGCTAATATTCATCATTGGGCATTTGTACCTATACAAAATATATCTTGGTTCTTATTTTTCCCCAGTCCCCTACCCTCCCTTCAACGCCTCCAACCCTTCCTATTTACAAAGACTTTGTTTCCATTTTTTCCTTTTTTCATATTTTTTCTTTTCCTTTCTGCCTTTCTTCTACCCCTCCTACTTCCCTTCCCTTTTTTACCTTTTCTTCATATTTCATATTATTCTATCCATCTCTTATTGTGTTCTTTGTATGTACTTTTACTTACTCAAGTGAGAGACACACATGCTTTTTGGTTTGGTTTGGTTTGGTTTGGTTTTTTAAAAACTGAATTTTCTCTGATTTAGAATATTTTTCAGTACTTAGGATTGAATTCATGGATTTGTACATGCAAGGCAAGCACTCTACCACTAAGCTACATCACCAACCATTTTATATTTTGTTTTGAGACAAGGTCTTGCTAAGTTGCCCAGGCTGGTCTTGGACTTGTAGTCCTCCTGCCTCAGCCTCCCATATAGCTGAGATTATAGGTGTAAACCACTGTGTGCAGTGGGTTTAGAAAGTGTGTATTTGCCAAGGTCCTGCTTGCAAAGATGTGTCTTTAGGACATAGTATCACACTCAAGTCTCCTCAAGGACTGTAGTGAGGATGGCCTAGGGTGGTTGGGTTAAAGCAAGTGAAATATACCAAAGAGCTCAGTAAACAAGTACTTCCTATCTTTTGTCTGAAGGAGAGAATGGAAACTACTTTCTGGGAGATGGGTAATGGGTCAATTTACCCATAGAGAAGGGCATAAAGGCTTCACTCTTCTTCAGGGCCCCTTGGCATCCAGAAAGTGATCAGGGTTGAAGGTGTCTGGTTTTTCAAAGTGACGTGGGTCATGGAGAGCAGTGCTCAGGATTGGATATATTTCAGTGTTCTGAGGAAAGGTTACAGGATCAAAAGGTATTGTTATTCCCTGGCCTCCATGTGTCAAAACATACATAAGTAGAAAAAACAAAAGAAAGCTGAAAGAAGTTTTCCCTGTTGAGAAACCAACAAGAGGTTGAGATGGGGGGTTAGAAAACCAAAGAGGCTCACACAAAGATGTGGGAGTCCAGCTAGGCTCACCTTGGGGATGATGAACCCTCTCAAGTGAATGTCTTTGGTGACCATGTGGGGCACACCAATGGGTAGGAGGTCCGAAAATTTCTGAATCTCACAGATGACTGCCTCTGTGTATAGCATCTTGGTTCGGTCATCCAAGGCTGGCTGGTGGTGTGGGCCAATCACCTGTTCAATTTCCTTGTGGACCCTCTCTGCACAGAAAAGGAGACAATGAACCCCACATCACAAAGGCACTTCAGTAGTGACCTTGTTTTGTTTGAACCAATGAGCCAGAAAAACCCTAAAGAAAGGGTTAACCATTCATACTCTTGAAGCACTCAACTGTGGCTGAGGGAAAGATCAAGAATACTCACCCTTTAAAATCCAATGAATATTATAAATTATCTCCCCACCTCCATAGCTACACACACACAGATGCATACACATCCCACAATTTTGCATGGAATTTTGTATTAAGAAGTCCAAAACTCCTCCTCTAAAATTAAAAAGAAATGCACTAATATTTATTATTCATGCAAATGGATCACTGCTAGGTCCTAAAAAATACAACAGTGGACTAAATCAAAAGATTAATCTTTAAAAAAAATTGGATGAGCTCTAAGCTGGACCAGCTAGGCGAGAGGAGCAGCTTGAAGCTACACGGCTGTCCTGGGCCCAGCCCACACCACAGAGAGGTCTACTTAGCCACACGGGTGCCTTTCAAGTCCCAGCCCACCCCCCACCCCCCCATGTGCCTCTGGCCTTCTAGCTTTTCTGCTACCTGGTCCCACACTACAGAGGAACAGGAGATTATAAAGACCCTTGTCCTGAGCACCACAAGATAGGGCAGAAGTTAGTAATAGAAAGAGGGTTCTCAGGCTCCTTGATGAAAACTGAAGCTCAGTGGAAAAGTAAAGAGAATCTCTACAATAAAGGCACATCAGACCACTGTACTTGATCTGCTGCTGGCTTGCTGAGACTCATTGAATCGTATATGCACATGGATTCCTATGTTGCCTACTGTGACAGCAGAGACATACCCTGAAGGAGGCCCATAATTTCTAGTGCTATTTGCAAAAAAGAAAAAAAAAATTTTTCCTCCTATTTTCAATTCTTAATTTTTATTTTCTCTCTACTTTTCAAAGTTTTAATTTTCTTTCTTTTATCTTTTTTCCCTCTCTCTCACTCATTCTCTTGCTATCCCACATTGCTCCTCATCTCCTCATTTGTTACTTTCTGCTGCACTGAATTCGGATTTCTCCCTTATTGTTTTTTTCTTCTCTTTTTCCTTCTCTTGATCATCATTAGGTTTAAAGGAAAGTAAATTTGGTATCTAGCCTCCCTGTTGCTGTTAGGTG